CGAAAAGCCCCACAAACAGAAGTCTCAGCAATATTACAAAAAAGAAAGAGCTACTCTCTAAAAAAATGGTACTCGTTGCTGGAATTTATTGACTATCAACAGGAAAACAGCAGTTGCTATTCACAGGTGGTATTCTCCGTCCGCGGTAGTATAGTGGTTAGTATCCCCGCCTGTCACGCGGGAAACCGGGGTTCGATTCCCCGCCGCGGAGATCATTTTTTATGTCTTTTAGAAAAAATCAAACAATACACTGTAGAAGGAATCCATGCTCTAGAAAAACATTGTTTTTACAAATGCGTGTCTTGAATATATTACCATTTGAGAGTAATATTTTTAGAAGCCTTTGAACACTGCTCTCGTTAACCTTTACTATGACTCTGAATTCTGTTACATTCTCTTGAGTTATTGTGTTATGAGAAAGAGATTCATCTCAAGATGCAATACTCACTTCAGTAATATTCGCATACATAAATTTTGATACTGTATGATACATTTATAGTAGCAGATTCAAGCACAAAAAACGCGACAACCGCTCATTGATCACTACAATAACAATCACGATTGGGTTGATTTTCATCAGGCCGAGGCATTATATGTAGTTAGTTTATCGGAATCGGTCAAATTAGACAACGTAACGGCTATTAAAGGATAGAAACTAGCACTTATATCTCACAAAACTAAGTATGAACTCTCAGAAATTCCCAGATCTCAGGTGTATTAAAAAAGAAATATTAATGAACTTCTAATTCAATTAAATTTATGAACTTTCGAAGATTTTGCCGTTCTGCGGTACGAGAGCGACTAACTTTCACAGTGCATAGATAGTTTATGTGCTATCCATTTACAACTTGCTTGATTTTAAGACAAAAGGAGTATTAAAAAAGAATAAAAAACATTTTTCAAGACTAGTAATAGCTGCTACGCATTAATCCGTTCAATTTTTTATCTCCAGCAATTCCGATAAAGTCATTTTCTAAACGTGTTTTTCATGGTTGGCGCCCTGATGATTTGGAATATGTTAACTACCGTTTTAAGGCGTTCAAGCCAGTGCAGTAAGCACTTTCAATCGGTTCATTATGTCACAGTGGCGAATGATGCGGACATTTAAGGAAAAAACGAAGCTTCGGATCCTCGATATAACCGTTCCAGGGGTTATCGATTTTGAGTCCTTGGATTTCATACAGATAACGAGCCGTTGTACAGAGATGTTCGGGACTTCCGGCACTCGAAATATCCCTCGAACAAGTGGTTGAAAACGTCACGTTCAAAACAGAAAAGCAAAAGACATTCAAATTGAATCAAAATATCGATCACTGGATTATGCAAACTCCTTAAAAAGTTTTGTAATTTTGGGTTTTTTAGTTTAAAAGCGATGAAACCACTTCAGTACGGGTAAAAAAAGAAAAGATCCTTTTTCTACTGACAGGCATATAATAGAATGGTCGTTGATGTTCGTCTACTAAAAGATGAAGCACAATTGAAAACATGATGCGGTTCGAAGAGTAAAGTACAAAGCCAAAGTAATTTGAAGGAGAAACAGAGTGTATTGGATATTGACACAAGCAATCAGTTATATGGCTAATTGATATTTTTTGCTGTCTATGTTTCTTTCTTTTACAAAAGAAGTGGTTGCTTCTGACAAATCTCACAAGAAGCGGCAATAATGCGTCGCAAGAAAAGTATTAACTTTTTTTCTTCTTCTAACTGTTCGTTGTTTTCCACCTCAGAGCTGAATAAACAATAGAAGTTGCCATGTAAAATGTTTATTTAAAAGGAAAAAAAAATGAAACGGGTTCTATTTGCTTACATAGTTACTACTGCTGATTTTAAAATAAAAATAAAAAAACAAAAAGTATAGAATTGTTTTATGAACATGCAGTCGTTATCAGATTCTCAAGATTCGGACGAGTTTACAATTATTTGGCTAGATACTACAGCTAATGATCTAACAAAATCTCTTTCTCTACGTAGTCATTTCCGTTCAGTTATTCCTCATTTAAAAACATTCGATGATTTATCTATGTGCGTTGATTTTATTAAGTCTCATGTAGATCGTAAACTATTTTTAGTTACTTCAGGCCAACTTGGTGAAAAAATAGTTCCTCAAACTCATCAGTTTCCACAATTGTCGTATATTTATATTTTTTGTATTGATACATACGCACACAAGACATGGTCTCAAAACTATGACAAAATACACGGCCTGCATACTGATATAAAACCATTAATTGATAAACTGACAATCTAACTAGAGATTAAGCCATCTGATGAGATCCGTAGCGGGATCGAAATCGGTCATGGCAGCTGTTCTCACCCTCACCCTCACCCTCATTCACATTATTCACCTTGGAGACTCTTATAAAATACGATGTTTTTCGGTTTCAATGTTGAAACTGTTGAATACAAAAATATTAGTTTTAACGTTTGGGATGTCGGTGGTCAAGTAAGTTCAAGGACATTCGATGTCCTAAACATACTTTTTATCAATCATTTTAGGACAAAAGTCCTGCATTATGGAGACATTATTTCCAAAACACGCGAGGTAATATTGACCATCAAAACTCTTCTGAATATTCTCATGTCTATATTCCGTTTAGGTTTAATTTTCGTGATTGACGGTAACGATCGTGAACGTGTTGGTGAAGCACGTGATGAACTTCAACGTATGTTAGCTGAAGATGAACTTCGTGATGCCGTTCTTCTCATATTCGCCAACAAACAAGTACGTCTATCTTTCTCTTTGAAGGATATTTGAATAAATCATTTCTTTCGAATAGGATTTACCTAATGCGATGAATGCGGCTGAAAGCACCGATAAATTAGGTCTTCATTCATTAAGGCCCCCCTCCCCCTCAAAAATCGATCTCAGCCCTGGTCAATACAAATGGGCTGAAATTTGGAGCATATGTTGGGGCTGAAGTGCGAAGGCTGTGGTAAAATTTTCAGCTCGATACCTTGACATTTGACAGAGATATG